GGGGAGAGCAGCAAGGAGCGGGGGGGGAAGGCAATGGGGGGGAGATCAAGTCGGGGTGGAGGAGACGGGGAACCGGCGGGATGGGGGGGGGACTGACCTCCTCCTGCTGCTTCCTCCTCTGCCTCCCCCCCCCCGCGAGTATCGCGGGTCCGCCACTTGTTTTCCTCTAATTTACTAATTTACTCAAAAGAAGTTCCATAGGAAGATTGATTGTTGTACTCTTTGAGAAAAGTTGTATGTATTTTATCTATAGCATTTCTATTGTCAGCTGTAATTATAACACCTCAGTTACTGCTGTAGCATCTATGTGTCAGGGCGTACATTTTATCTATCTACATTGCTCAAATGAATATGTGTGTTATCCTAATCCTATCCAGTAAAATCTGACAATTTAACAGAATTTCAAAACATAGCTCCATAAATATGGGCCACACTGACTCTATAGTACGGATATAATCTACTGTGACTATTACAGTTGGCCATCCAAGTAATAATTTAAAGAAGAGAATCTTCATATTAAGATTAGCTTTGCTAATTCAGTTTGTTTTTGGTCTGCTGTTTGACTAAACCACACGAACCTGTTCTTTTCACAACCATTCTGCAGTGGTGATCTGACAGACCACAGTAAATTAGTATTTTAGCAGAGCAGTGGTTTCATTGTTGTTTGGTTCTTTCCATCATACAACAGACATCCACCACTTTCTCCTATTATATGCTTGTAAATTATAGGAAACATGCACTCATATATGCAAGGGAAACTGAACTCAGTAACAGTGTAAGCTAGTGTGAAGTGTCTGGAATACTGCAGTGAAGGAATCAAGAGACTATCTTGTTGAGTACACGAGAAACTGCAAGTTAAAACACTTGTGAAAGTAGCTGGCAACTGCAGAGCTCAGGGAATGTTATGACTACATTTGATGATGTCAGGACCTGGTGTTCAGGCTTCCCTCTACAGGGGGTGGTGGCTGGGCTCGGGGGTCCCGGAAGGCCAGAAGGGGCATTTTGAAGAGCCACACTTGCCAGTGCCAGGACCAAGGCTCCCTCTAAGCTGTGGAGTCTTGCGAGCAAAATCCTACTTTGGGAGCTCCTGGCATTCAAGTGGCGAGCCAGCCATTTGGATATTGCATAACTTAGTTTGCTCTGGAGCCCCATCCTTCCTGAGCCCAGACAAAGATGTGTGAGCCGGAGGCTAAAAACACGTGAGCCAGCTCACACTCACTCAGCTTAGAGGGAGCGCTGGGCGGGGCGGGGCGGGGCGGGGCTGCCTCTCCTCCTCCCCGCCTCCCCCCCCCGCACCCACCTTCGCCTCCGCGCCGCCGCTCCAGGCGCACCTCCACGCGGATGAGCCTCCTCCGGGCGTGGCAGATCTGCAGGCTGAGGGCGCGCAGGGCGCGGGGGAAGAGCTGGCACAGGCGGCGCACCCTCCGCTCTGCAAGGGGAGGCAGGCAGGGAGGCAGGGAGGCAGGGAGGGGCCTTGAGCCTGGCGGGCCCTGGAGCCCCCCCCCGCGCCCCCGTCCCCGTCCCCGTCCTCT